AGCTACTGACCCTTCCTCTTTGTTTCCAATCTTTGCTTTACAATTGCCAGTAATTATCAATACATCTTGATTGCATGTTTGATCAATTTCAGACTGAGGAAATTGGTAGAATTCTTCAAATTCATCATCAGTGGCTTTAGTGGTTGCTGTGTAAATTAGAATAATAGTGGTATTAACTGGGCTTCCTTGTAGTCATATGGATATTATCCTATTACATACAGCATGGTACTTCAAGACAGACATTGATATGTTCTTTTTGATGATGACTGTGACACCATTCCTCTTTAATTTGTCATTCCCAGCATAGTGAACCTGTGACTGTCAGATTCAAAATGGTCAGTATCAGTCAATTTCAGCTCACCAAATGCCTAGAATATTGATGTTTATGCATTCCTGGTAGCGTAGTGGTTACGAATTGGGCTGCGAACTGCAGGGTCAGCAGTTCGAAACTACCAGCTGTTCCATGGGAGAAAGATGAGGCTTCCTGCTCCCGTAAAGATGTACAGCCTTGGAAACCCTGTACAGGGTTGATATGAGTTGGAATCGACTCATATCAGGTAGGAGAGTGGGGTGGGAGAGGTTTCAGATAAGTAAACTGCCATGTGTGTGGGGCCTGAAGTAAAAGGAGAACACCATCTTTAGGGAGTCTTCCTAGTGTGGCACTGTGGGATAAAGCACTATCCCGCAAGGTGGGTTTGAACCACAAGGACTCCATGGCACATAACAACAACATGCATTCATTTTCATTTTTGCTAACTTCCAATTTTCCAAGATTCATAGTTTGTACATCCTATGTTCCAATTATTACTGGATATTTACAGCTGTTTCTCCTTATTTTGAGTTGTGCCCATCAGCAAATGAAGGTCCCCAAAGCTTCACTCCATTTGTGTCATCATGGTCATCTCTACTGCGAGGAGGCAGCTCTTCCTCAGTCATATTTTGAGTGCCTTCCAACCTGAAAGGCTCATCTTCTGGCACTATATCTGACAATATTCTGTTATTCTTCATAATGTTTCAATATTCAACATTATGGTGCTATCTGACAAAGTTTTGCTGCTATTCATAAGGTTTTCAGTGACTGAATATTTGGAAGTAGTCCATCTCTTCTTCTTCTTCCTACTCTGTCTTTGTCTGCAAGCTCAGCTGGAACCTGTCCACCATGGGTAACCCTGCTAGTAGTTAAAATACTGGTTACATCATTTCCAGAATCACAGCAACATGAAAGCCACCTCAGTATGACAAACTGACAGATGAGTGGTGGTTCCTGGCTTTATTCTCAACTAAAGCAAGGCCACCCTACCCTACATCTTTCCCTGACTGCCTTCTATTTAAAAGTGATTAATTTCGCTAAGAAATGTTAGTTGAGAATCTACTTGTTTTTTTCTTGCTAACGTGCCATCATTCTCATACATTGTATATACTGTTGGTTTCGTTAAGTGCCAGTGAGTCGGTTCTGACTCACAGCGACCTGTACAGGGTTTCCTAGGAGCTGCTTGTGAATCAGAACCACTGACCTTGTAGTTCAAAGCTATCTTGTGGTCCGGTGCTTATGCTACAGTGCCACACCAGGGCTTTGTGTGTTCATGTACCCTGGTGTATGCTGTAGGGAAGACAATAATGGTGATGACCCAGTTAGTTGTCTGGTTGTCACTGTGAAGGGAAAGAACAGGTTCCATGAGCATATAAAGGAGGAAGGACCCCTTCTACTCTTGAAGGTCAACACATGCTTCTCTGAGGAAGGGATGTTCAAAATGGGAGAGAAGAAGGTAGGAGAGTGGGGTGGGAGAGGTTTCAGATAAGTAAACTGCCATGTGTGTGGGGCCTGAAGTAAAAGGAGAACACCATCTTTAGGGAGTCTTCCTAGTGTGGCACTGTGGGATAAAGCACTATCTCGCAAGGTGGGTTTGAACCACAAGGTCAGCAATTCAAACTCACTAGCCACTCCTTGGAAATCCTATACAGGGTTGCTATGAGTCAGAACTGACTTGATGGCACTTAAGAACAACAACAAAAAAATAAGGTGGAAGCCTGGATGGTGCAAATGGTTGAGTGCTCACCTACTAACTGAACAGTTGGAGGTGTGAATCTACCTAGAGGCTCCTCAGAAGAAAGACCTGGTGATCAACTTCCAAAAGATCACAGCCATTGAAAACACTATGGAGCAGTTAACTCTGACATAGATGGCAACTTTGTTTTTTTAGGAGAATTATCCTCTGTTCATAATTCCACCACCATTCTGCATTTCTCATAATTTAATCAGATTTGATGTGTCTGTCTTCCTGTCCAGACCACCAATTTTTATTTTTAGTTTCCCAGATTTTCTTAAATTGTAAGGATTCAGAATATCCCAATACTTTTTTTTTTTTTTTGATAGAAAACATGTACAGTTTCTTAGATACAAAATAGGAATTTTACAGTATATCTGGTGTAACAAGGAAGGGATGTTCCCAATATATTCTTCAAATGTAAAAGTACTACAAAACTCTTTCATGCATGTATACAAAGTCAAGAGAGTTGTCCATGTTTCTAAATTTAACATCTTGGTTACAAGTGAAAAAAATGCCCAAACCCATTTTTTGAATGAAAATACATTAGTTACTCCTATTCAAGTAAATGAAATCAAAATAATATTTCAAGTTTCCAAAATAGAATGTATATAACAATGATGAGGATGTTTGTAATATGTTCTTTGCCTAAGAAAACTCAAATAGCATGAATTTTAAGTTGTCCAGGCTTACAAAGTATCTTGCATGTAACAAACATGTGAACACTCCCAACACATTCTTTGAATGAATTCACAAAATGAAGTTTCTCGCATTCAAGTACATGATGTCAAAACAAGCTACAAATTTTAACGGCAATTGTTTCTGAATCTCCAGCACTCCGTGTAGTGTGTGGAATGCCAGCATTCAGTGTAGTGTGTGAAATGTTGAAGGAATAATTAGTGAGTTTTTAGTTGAATAAAACAGTAAGTAAATGAATAAAACCAAGCTTTGATAACCTTTGACTGAAGTGAGCTCAAAATTATACATATCAGCAAGCACATCTGAAGTAAGAACTATTCTAGTTAGCCAGTTAAATGCAAAGCCAGTCTTTCACAACCTGCCAAACTGAGGAAAGACTGAAAGTCCTTAAGAACCTTGGAGGAGTTCTCCCACCCTTCTCATACACAGTGTCGAGGGAGGAGTTGGGGGACAAAACATGGTTGTTGTTGTTGTTTTTTAAGCATGTTTGGTTGCTCTAAGATATGGGTGGATGTCCAGGTAGGTATTCATAATTGCCAAGAGACCAGCATTATTATTCAGATACATTCAAGAAGAAAAGTTGGGGGTCCACACAGGGCTGCTAACTTATTCCTTGTCAAATCATGTCATTTACAAATTCATCTATTACTATCATTTCATAAAAATAATTTTTAAAATCCTCAAACTCAAAGGAGAATCCTTTGAATAAAACATTTAGCTTTATAAAAAATTCAGTACATTGTTTTGTTTTGATCATTTTGCTGTCACTCCATGAAATGCTTTTGAGGAATCTACACTGACAGTGGGGAATGCCTTTAACAGCCCACAAGAGCAGGAAGATCAGAAGACGACACAATTACTGATTGGTATGGTCTGGGGAGGAAGTCTTTATAAGAGGAGGAGGTCTGAGTTCTGAAGAACCAGCTGCTGAAAAATCCTGGCTGGCAATCTGTCATCTTGGAATGTGCAGAAGCAACTCAAAAGCATTGTATTTTCAGTTTGCAAGTATAAATGTTACCTATGAACCTGTGTAAACAGTCCTAGTGACATAGTGGGTTACAAGTTGTACTACTTGGTATGCAAGGTGAGCAATTCAAATCTACCAGTGCTCTGCAGGAGAAAGATTTGGCTTTTTGTTCCAATAAAGATTGACAACCTCAGAAACCCTACACAGGGTCATTTTGAGTAGGAACTGATTTGACAGCATTCAACCAACACCACTACCATGAACCTGCATGCTCATTTGGAAATAATACCTTGCAGTCTTGAAGAGCAATTGTTTCTCTCCAAAGTGAGCATCTTCCATTCTCAGGCAGAGGATTCCCTTCTCAGAGGAGAGAAGTGAGTCATGGAGCTTTTTCATTTTTTATTTAAGGTTTTTATTGTGGATTGAGTAAAAGTTTGCAGGGCAGATCATCAGTTTTACATTTAACAAATCATACACATTGTTTCATTACAATGATTATAATCCCCTCCATGTACCATCACTTACCAGTGTTTCTCTACACTCAGGCATATATAATAATTTACACCACCAAGGGCACATTCTGCAAGTCTGCCTCCTGGACACTATCTCTTAGTCCCTCTCTTCCTATGAATCTAGAGTCCTCAGCTGCTCCCTCTCTCCATGTCCCCATCTCTGCCTCCATCTCTGGTGTTGCTGCTCTTCTGGATAAGGTCCTGCATACCACTTGTGCTCTTCTCCCTTGATGATCCTAGGGTCCTTTGTTTCTGGACTGTAAGAGTAACCACTCCCCTGTTTTTGTTACAAAACGTCTACCTTTACAACTGTGCGAGTCACAATTAGTCATGATAACTATTACTATTGAATCATAAGAATCTTATCCCCATCTCTTTTAACCAGACTTATCTAGACAAGATGAAAACTATTCAGTGGGGACTCTTTCTTTGCCCACACACTTTTAAACTAAGCTCCCCTTGAAACCTTGTAAGCCAGTCACTTTGTGCCTTTATCGCCCCCTCATTTTAGGTAGCCAGAGTAATGAAGCTTTTGTCTGGTAGTTTGGACACAAAAACACTGGCTCAGAGTTTTAATCAGTGGATGAAACTCACTGATGTGAACCTTGAAACTAAGACTGCCCCAGGAGAAAAAATTAATTTATCTTATAATAGTTTAATAAGAAAAAAAGGATGATCCTATTGTCAACATTCCTAAGCTGTCTAGGTCAACTGTGAGCACTGATTTGATTAGCAAGTATCTACACCTATGAAATTTGCTCCTCTTTAATTAAATAGGTAGACACAAATGAACAGCTGAGAAGAATCGCCCAAATGAGGATTGTTGAATACGACTACAAACCAGAATTTGCATCTGTAATGGGAATAAACACTGCCCATCAAACAGGTAAATAAACAAATTTCCCTTTTGATGTTGTATTGTTAACTGTTGAAATTTTAATTCCTTCTTCATTTTGAAGTAATGTGCCATGTGTGGCATTTGACAATATCCCAGTGTTCTAAATTTTCCTTTTTGAAACCCAAAAGTTAAGGTATTTCTGGGTCATCTTTCCTCAACACCCCACCTCTATTCCCTCATCCCAAGGTACTTGTGTAATGTTAGACTATGTTGCTGCTTTTCACTTTTGTTCCTGGGAAGATTGAAAACAAGCCGGAGGAGCTCCTGGTATGAAGAGAGAAAGTAAGAAGGGCAGATGGCCCTAGATCAGAGAACGGGTAGGCAAAGTGGCGTTTGTACTACAATCCAGGAGTTCACGAGAAGGAAGGAATATGCAGGAGCACAAATCTCCTATAGAAAAAGAAAGGAGCCTAAGCTAACACCCCGTCCCTATTTCTATGTTGTTTTTAGTTGCCTTCCAGTGACTTTTGACCCATGATGACCCCATGCATGCAGAGTAGAACTGTTTCTTATGGTTTTCAAGGCTGTGACTATTTGGAAACATCTCTAGGACTGTCTTCTGAGAAACCTTTGGGTGGATTCGAACCCCAGTCTTTCAGCTATTAGTACTTAACCTTTTGCATGACTCTGGGACCTATGTGTAGGGATTTTAATATATTGACTAGTCCCTTGGCTTATGATATACCTCTCAAGTGAACTGATAGCTTATCAGATATAGGAGAGAAACTAAAGAGTTTCTCCTAACGAAGATGAATTTCTGAAAAGCGGAAGGAAATTTCTCAACTTTAGCCACTCAGTTCTTCCAATAAGAAGACTAAAAGAAAAGGGGAGAAAGGCACCCTGATTTTAATCTTAAACTGGTTCTTGTATGAAAATTTCTTTTTTCCATAAATGTTTTGCAGATCAAAGTAAAAGCTAAGAATGATAAGCATCTATTTTCATTTATTTCCAATGATGTCATGAGGGACTGTCAGTATTCTATTCTAAATGTAGGCCTTAGAGGAATTTTTTGGAAAGGTCTTTTCCTGATTAAACTTGTTGGAGTGTTTTGTATGTAGGAATGATTGCCCAGGAGGTGCAAGAGATCCTGCCCAGAGCTGTGAGAGAGGTTGGTGAAGTCACCTGTGAAAATGGAGAAAAGTTGGAGAACTTCCTCATGGTTGATAAGGTAACTACTGAATTAATATCTTCTGCTTTAGCTGTAACCCACAGATAGCTCCTGGCTAAAACATCTGACTAAGAAATGGGACATTCAAAAGAACTCTTCACTGAACTGTGGAGTAAATTGGTATCCATTATCCTACACTTGTCATATAAAAGAAACCCTATAAAAGAATAAGAAAAGGGAATAGGCAAAAATAAAAATTAGAGTTCAGTGACTCCTCATTGTTGGAAGACAGCTGGCCCTGGGAAAACTCACATAGGTGAATGCCTTTAAAACAGGAACCAAATCATTCTTGATAATGACAATAAGTTTTTATTAGACTTCTATCTTCAAAAATGGCAATAATGAAATAAAACTTAAAAATTTTATTTTATAGAATGCAGTTTAAGTTGTAATTTTAAAAATCAGCTGCTTCTTAGAATAAGTAAGACTTAAAGGAAACGTTGGTATTTTTTCTTTTATTTTTTCCGTTTAAGTCTTTTGACAAAATTGTACACTTGACTTTCACAGCACTATCATAAAGTGGGTCATTTTTTCAAAGATATTCTTGGGCCTCATCATTTTTCCCCCCAAGGGGCTTTCTTAATTCTCTGACTTTCAAATCTTTCTCTTTTGAAGGAATGCCATCACCCTTGTAGATTTGCTTTCCTTCACTTATTAATGTATGGAGAGAGAAAGTAAGAAGGGCAGATGGCCTTGCTGGCAGATGCTGCCAATTCTTTGCTTGCTGATGCTGGGCATGTGATTTGAGTAGTTCCCTAATATTACTTCTACCAATTAGGTGAAATCCTGTATCTTTTGCAATATTTGAACACAACCCCCAACACCCCCACCCCAATGTTGATTTGCCTTACATTGCATATAATATTTGATGCAGGAAGGAGAGAGAGAACTGACATAGGTATTTTGCGTTAAGTGGGAAGAGATGTTAGTGTGGAGATTAATTTATAATTTGTCAATTCATGAGGTCAGTGCTTCTCAAACTTTAAAGTGCACACTAATCACTGAGAGCTTATTATAATGTCGATTCTGATTTGGTAAGCTATAGTGAAACTCAAGATTCTGTGTTTTTAGCCAGTCTCCTGATGAGACCAATATTTCCAGTCCTATTAGCCAGCAAGCTGCTCTTGAAGAAACAAAGCAGAAGGTACATTTTCATGCGGGGCAGATACTTAGATAACTGAATCTGGAAGGACTGTTTAGCCAGGACCAGCTGAGTGGCTGAAGTTGGGACATTTCCTTTCATTTTTCAAGAATACATCTTTTTTAGAAGAAGCTCTTTAGCTTCTATTCTAGGTCTAAGTTATCAGTTCACTTGAGAGTTATATCATGAGAATTTAAAAAAAAAATTAATTGAAATGTTCCAATAATTTACTCAAAAAGAAAATAAGGCACATTCAGAGCTATCCATATGATAAAGTCAGCCTTACTCTAGAATTTTCACACAATTTCTGGAATGAGGAGAAAGGAAGTAGTCAGAGCCATCAGTCTCAGCATTGCCAAGGTGGGAACTCTTGGAGTCACTCATCTGGAAGCACATGTATCATTTCTGGCTGTGGCCTTCCTCCAGAACACTTGGGAAGCAGATTTCAGTGTGTGCTGTGTAGGTAACCTCTGCCCAAGACCTTACAACTGTCACTGTTCAGCATAACAATTAGTTCTCTGTGGCACTGTAGGATAAGCCCTGGACCACATATGCGTTCGAGTCACAAGGTTGGCTGTTCAAACTCACCAGTTGCTCCTTGGAAATCTTACACAGAGTTGCTATGAATTGTAACTGACTTCACGACACTTAATAATGAATAACAACATCCTCCCAGTAGCGTCCTTGGGTGGTACCAATGGTTAATGTGCTCACTTGCTAACCAAAAGGTTTTAATCCACCTTGGAAGAAATGTTGGGTGGTCTACTTCAGAAAAATCAGCCATTGAAAGGTCTGTAAAGCACAATGCTACTCTGATACATATAAGGTCATTATGAGTTAGAATTGATTTAATGGCAACTGGTAACCCCCTAGTGTCTCCTCATTGCCCAGTTGAATTGAGTGAGGACTGACAGGATCATTAGGAACAGTCATTTCAGGGCCATATCCTTTTCTCTCCAAGCTTATTTCAAGCAAGGCAAGGCCAGAGCTCTGGGAAAGTCGGGGGGAAGAATCCCTGTTCCATCATCAACTGATGAGAAAACCATGCCAAGGAAACATTCAGTTTTTAAAGCAGTAAAAGTCACAGCAGTCCAGAATGGAAAATGTGTGATTCTCTTAGTAACAGGACCTTGTAGTGATACAGTCTCTAGAGGTGTCACCAAGGCCACACTCATTTACAGAATGGGTAACAGCAAGAGCAGGCAGCCATCTCTCCACTCTGAAGCCTAATTTTCTTCTGTGGCTTGTTTCTGAGGATAGGCTTCAATTGCTAGTTTAATCTTTCACACTGTGAGAGATTTCACCTCTAAATTATGAATACTTCACACTTCAACAAGAATCTTCTTTTTCTTTCTCATTAAGAACACAGAGAAGGTGGTTACTGTTATCCCGTGCTCCCTGTACTTGTAAAATAAAATGCACATAGAGACTCTTGCTTTCTTGTCTGCTGGGCAGTGTTGTGGTTTTGATTACTACTCCAGTGATGCTGTGCTTTAGGGAAATTTTCTAGGTCTTTCCAGGCTTTGCTAAGATGAGTTCCAGTCTTCCTTTTTCATCTTTACCATAAGTGTTTTAACTCAAAACACTTTGTCTATTATTTCACTTTCTTAAGGTTCTTAGAAGGCTTTCCAGTTCTTATGCAAAATATACTTGGTAGTTCAGAAAGGAAATTTCAGGAATAGCATCACACAACCAAGCCAAAGACTACCTATCTTGGTGATTTGGTCAGATTATGTAACTTCTCTTGGTTTCAATTGCTTTATTTGTCAAAAGTGGTGAGCAACTAGATCATCTCAAATATTAGTTTATTTCGCAATAAATAAGACTTTCTTAGAGGGCCCTGTCTCCTAAAATAAAGATCAAACTGACTTTCCAGGACTACATGTAATTCCTGTGGCAATTGCCTTGATTATTTCTGAGAAATGACGATGCAGAACAACAGTACAATAATGTATCTACAGAAATCCCTAGATGAAAACTAATTTTGGGATTCCATGAAAACAGTGATTTTGGAAAATAAAGTGTTGTAATTTGAAAGCTGAGAGAATTTAAAAGACATCTAGTCCACCTATCCCCTTTAACAGATGAAGACACTGAAGCCCAGAACAAACCTGAGTCTCTTAATCATCTCATTAGGGAATGCAGCTTCTCATCTTTAATACCTGGATCATAGTATATTATGTTGTTGTTAGGTGCTATTGAGTCAGTTCCAACTCACAGTGACCCTATTCACAACAGAACAAAATGCTGCCCAGTCCTGAGGCAGCGTCACAATTTTTGTTATGCTTGAACCCATTGCTGCGGTCACTGTGCCAATCCATCTGGCTTGGGCTCGTCCTCTTTATCACTGACTCTGTACTATG